TATTGTACAGAAAACAATTTCCATTTACCTTAGCTTTTTGTATGACTATCAATAAATCTCAAGGTCAAAGTTTTGATGCCTTAGGATTATACCTTAGAAAACTATTATTTTCTCATGGGAAATTATATGTTGCATTGTCTAGATGTAGAAACCCAAAAAAGAATTTTTATCCAAATTAAATGAGAAAACAAATTTGAAATTGAAAATATTGTTTGGAATGAAATTTTAGAGTAACATAAAACTATTCTATGGTTTATTACTATTTTTATACTTTCTTGCAAATTTTTTCTTTCATCAAAAAAGCAAATTTCGGTATCGTCTAGTACCTATATTTATGAAATCATAAACAATCTGTTTTATGTAATAAGTTTTCAGATACATCATCATAAATGCCAAATTTTATCAGTGTGACAAATGTAACTCAAAATTTTCAAATCAAGAGTGTCTGTCATCGCACAAAAAAGTTCACAAAAAAAAATTTTTTGTATGAGATCTATGTAGCATTACAATATTAGAAAAGAAAAACTATTTGCATCACACAAGGGAATGCCAAAACATTGAGAAAAATTTTAAGTGTATTAAATGCGGGAAATATTTCAAAAGAAATAATTACTTACAGAGACATTTGAAAAGTCATGAAAGAAACGTTCAAAAAAATATTTGTGGAAATCGTGGGAAAGATTATGTAACATAATAGGCTTTAATTTTTAGGCGTTAATATATTAGGCTTTGCACATTTATTCACATTATATATGGGGAAGCTGGGGGGAGCGGGGGGGGGCGGTCGTAGCTAGCAAAAAAGTAGGATTACTCGAAAAATGCAAGGAAATGAAAGAAAAACTACCTTATTTGGGTACATAGTACGCTATACCCACTGCTGCATGGTGAAAATCGTTACGAGGCTGCAATACGGACTTAGCTGGGTCTCCTTTACAGATAAAGTATACTATCAGTTAAATAATGTCTGATACAAAACGTCGCTTGATCTCTTCGAAGTCTTCAAAAAAACATAGTAAGAATCATTTTTCTTTCCTGTTTATCCTATTATTTTTTTTTATCTATATATGTATGTAAGAAAATACATGTAAAATAGTAAACATGTATAATATGACAACTTAACTGTTGAAAGCTAGAAAAAACGCTATGACTCGAAAGGGAAGCAAAATTGTCTAAGAATAACTATTTCTACGGGTCTCCTAAAGCAGATCTACATGATTAAGGTGCACAAATAGTGAAGGGTTGAATATACACAAACATAACCTCAATTATCTCTTTTGTCGACTGTACCTTAAAATAAACGAGTAAAAAAAAATTTTTTTTTGTATGCCATGTTTGGAAAATCAACGTGGACATTTACAAAACTGTTGAAAAATTTTTTTTCACAATATTACCTGTAAAAACTAGAAAAACAGTCATATCTTAAAAAGAAAGCTAGATTAACCCAAAGTAACTATTTTTGCGGTTTCTCTAAAGAGAAGCTACATGATCGACGTGCACAAATAGAGAAGAGATGGACTATGCACAAATATAACCTCATGTTTCTCGTTTTTCGACTGTATCTTGAACAGAACAAGTTTTAAAAAACCAGGTGTGAGTCCCAGGATGCTGGCAGAAGTGAAACTTCCAATTTGAATGTTAATGAACTCACTATAACAGAAACTGAGAAAATAAGATTAAATTTAATTTCAATAGGTATTTAAAAATCTGGTATTAAAATAGTAAAAATTTTGTTATCATTACGTATTCGAGCACGCGCATGCATGAAATATACATACTTATTCGTACTTCTTATGTACACGTAATTCATACATTCTCAGTACTTTCATGTTTGCTATGATATATGTATTAAT